TAGAGCACGTGTGATGTTGGGAGAGACACGAGAAAACTCAAAGACAAACAGCTACRGTTCTCGCTCAGTCATTATATTTAGTACATATTTCATCACATTAAGCGATCGATGTCTAATTTGATTATTAGTTTATTAATGTAATTTCAGGTTAACGTAATCGCTATAAATGTTAAAATGTTTAGYTCAAAGTACCACTGCCTGCACCCAAGAAATTTGCGCGATTTTTTTACCTTGAATTCGCCAATCGGACAGCACCATTCAATAAGAGAGCATGCAAAAAAAAAACTATCGCAAAGGCTCTTGAATGCACATCTAACTAATGATAACACAAACCGTTGTACCACAGGATCTGCTCGAGTATTCCGAGTGTGACGTAAATGCGGAGGGTATTAATGNGTAGGTAGAATAGAAAAAAAAATAATTAAGAACTGACTAAAGATATATTTAAAATTACGATAATAGATGAGGTGACGGTTTCGGCCGCCATTTTGTTCCGGTAGGCAAAGTGTCGCAAAATAACAAGGAATGACCGGGAAATCGATGTCAAATAATTCTCGCTGAATTCAAATTCCGAAAGAATTATCAATTGCAAACGTTAGATACTGCAAAAAGGAGTTAACTGGCAAAATTTGAAAGGCGTACTTGATCTAGAGAGCGAGTAAACTCATTTTTAGTTCTCCATACATTTCTTTGTAATTTCAATACATTTCGTTATCATTTCCGGGGTCATCAGTGCGTGACGCGCGTGAAAAATACAAAGAAATGTATGGAGAACTAAAAATGAGTTTACTCGCTCTCTAGATCAAGTACGCCTTTCAAATTTTGCCAGTTAACTCCTTTTTGCAGTATCTAACGTTTGCAATTGATAATTCTTTCGGAATTTGAATTCAGCGAGAATTATTTGACATCGATTTACCGGTCATTCCTTGTTATTTTGCGACACTTTGCCTACCGGAACAAAATGGCGGATGAAACCGTCACTTCATCTATTAATATGAGTTGGATATCATTCTTATTATATTATTGCACACTGACAAATGCATGTAATCGCACGATCGAATGCCATTGTGGATATTCCCTTTTTGATGAATAATATTTACTCACTCATCTCGATAAAACTCAAGAACAAAGCAGAACAAAAGCGTAATAACACGTACATACCAAACCAACCATAAGTAAAGATAATAACTTGATAGAAACAGCAGAGTAGAGGTATTTGATGAGTGAATATTGCCATCAATAATCAATTCCAATGGTAAACTTTCGATCGTGCATTCAATGTTCTCCCCGACAGCCTTTTTGAAATAGCTGTATAATGACTGGCAGCACTGTGCCCTTAACTTCTTTGTTATGCGTTGAAATGCTAACTGAATTTGGCTCTCAGTTAGAGCATATGGCAAGATTAGACAACAGAGATAYGTTTGGCAAAACACCACTTGGGAAAGCCATGGAAAGTGGTGCAAGTAGAGCCGCCAAGTACCTTCTAGGATTCAGTAAGTCTTGACACGACAGTTCATGCACAGCTTCTCCTTCTAGGCAATCACGCGGCGTGCCTAGGGTAATTTCAAATGGAGGGGTATACACTGGCCTAATCTAGGATACACAATCATGTAGCACCTTATATCTACCGCCCTACGATKCTTGTTTTTTCTACCGATATTTTAAACTTAAGCGAGATGCAAAACCTACATAATTTATTTGGATCAATGTTTTCTTAAAGACGAATTCAAACGATGCATTTGTCGTGTGCGATTCAAAAGTTCTAAATTCGTGCAACGTGTAAGTGCCCCTACGACTTGCCTACGACTGATGAATTTAAGCGAAGGATMAAAAATCCTACGATTGGCTAGCACTAAAACTGAATGACGTGATTTTTCMTCAGATTAAAACTACTACTATAATCTCGTTCAATCAAATTTCGACCTTGGCAATGGCGCGTGCGAATTGTATGCGACAATCGTGCAGCCGTAAGAATGGTACTTAAGACATATATTGTAAGCAAATCGTGTACTGACTACAGTCTATGGGTCTGAAAGYGAAAAGGAGTCGTGTAAATTGGCAGTCTTTAAGTTTAACCCCATAATGCTTTTATAGTTACTCAAAACAATATGGACGTACAGTTATACCTGCACGATGCTGATGAAGAAGGAAGTACTTTGCTCCATTTAGCAGTGGACAGCGGCTTTCCAAAGGTAATATATTGTAGCAATGCCTATTATGCCGATATAAGCTAAGTCTGCATTCATTATGTATACTGCAAGGGGGGGGGGGGGGACTGGAAATTTAGGGACTGGAAAAGGGAGGGGACGTCAAATTTCTTGGCCATACATAAAATGTCTATAAATCATGGTAGAAAATAAACATCTCTATTAGAACTGTAACAATAGACTATAAACTATTTTACACTGATTAAAATTTTCCCAGTTTAGCAACATAGCAATCACAAATACATTAAAAACATACAAATGCAATTATAGAGTAATGAAAACGTCTCGCCGCTTGGGCTCGACAATATAGTAAGCAAAGGAATAAAAGACAAGCCTCTTCAACCAGGCTAACAGAGATCGACTATCACTTTCATTATTGTTGCGGGATATGAAAATTACTGCTGAGATTTTGTGGGGGTCCAAAAATTTTGTGCCTTCTAGCAAAATTTCCTCTCCCTTCCCCCTCCCTTCCCCCCTTTGGTATACATAATGAATGCAGCCTAAGGCTGTTAAAAAAACGGTGTGAAGTTTAGCAGGAATAAATATTTCTTCTCAATCTCCACTTCAACATTTATTTTAATTTTTACCTTTTTTTAGAGAAAGCTCTATAAGTATACAAGCTTACATATAATCGTATGGGGAAGTAGCTGATCCCATTAAAGAGTGCTCAATACACATATTAGTGTATATCAAAGAGGCAAGATTTTGCTTTTACTCCGAGTTTCGTGCTACGCACTCATCAGACAGTATTTAATGATAAACATTCCT